ATATATATATATATATATATATATATATATGAGAGAGAGAGAAAGATTTTTTTTCTCTCTCCCATAACTTCTCCAACTTCCCCTTGCCTATAAATACCCCCACTGGGGAAAAGTAGTTCTTGCACCTTCTCTTCTCCCTCCATTCTTTAAATTGAGGCCTTCCTTGGCCCTGTACGAGTGGTATCCCTCCTATAGGCCCAAGGCCCCTCTCTGTGCAAGAAGGATCGGAGATCCCCTCTTCTCCCTCCTTTCTTTCAATTAAGGCATTCTCTTGGCCCTATACGAGTGGTATCCCTCGTGCAGACCCAAGTCCCCTCTTTGTGAAAGAAGGACCGGAGATCCCCTATTCTCCCTCTTTTCTTTCAATTGAGGCCTTACCTTGGCCCTTTACGGGAGGTATCCCTCATGCAGGCTCAGGGCCCCTCTCTGTGCAAGAAGGACCGAAGATCCCCCCTTCTCTCCCCAACGCCCTCCATCTCTTCTTTTAATTGAGGTCTTCCCTTGGCCCTGTATGGGTGGTATCCCTCGTTCAGGGGCAAGGACGCTCTCTTTGCAAGAAGTTGATCATCCTCCATTTTTCTCTCTTAAGCTGAGGCATTCCCCTAGTCCTATTCAGGTCTAGGGCCCTTCACTGAGTAGGAGTCTTCCCCTTTTTCTTCGAGAGATCCTGCGGAGGTCTGATGTTAGTATGTGGAAGTTTGGACGAAAGTCCAACGTCGGGAAGAATTCCGGTGATGAGTGGAAATTTGGCTTTGGGGAGAAGCCCGATGAATGTCTGACGAGGGGCAATATTCTGGCGTTGGGTACAAGTGCGTCGAAAGTCTGTTGACAGGTAGTAGTCCGACGAAGGGTAGAAATTCAGCGTCGGGTAGAAGCCTAACGAAAGTCTGTTGATGGGTATAAGTCCGACGACAGACAGAAATTCAACGTCAGGGAGAAGCCCGACGAAATTCCTACGACGGGTAGTAGTCCGACAATGAGTGAAATTTTGGCATCAGGTATAAGTACGGCAGCAGGTAAAAGACCAATGACAGTCCAACAACGTACAAAAGTCTGATGACGAGTAGTAATTCAACATCAAGTAGAAATTTGATGAGATTCTGATGGCAGGCAGAAGTCCAACGTCGGGTAGAAGACTGATGACAGTCCGATAAGGGATAGAAATCCAACGATGCTTAGAAATTCAACGTCGATTAGAAATCTGACGAGATTCCGACGATGGGCCGAAGTCCATCGACAGGTGGAAATTTGGCGTCGGGTAGAAGTCTGACGAGAGTCCCGTGACGGGAAGAAGTCCAACGACGGGAGGAAGCTCGGCATCAAGCAGAAGTACAACGACGAGAGGAAGCTCAGCGTCGGATAAAATTCTGATGAAAGTTTGGCGACGGGCAATAGAGCGTAGAATTCACCAAAGATATATGACCCATTTGAGGTTGTATGATGTTAACCTATATGGAAGATGTTAAGAGAATCCACTAAGGATGTGCGACTTATCTGAGGTTGTGTATCAGAGCCCTTACTCAATGACGTTAACCTGTATGAAAGAGGTCGAGAGAATCCATCAAGGATGTAGGACCTATCCAAGGTTGTATGTCTGAGCCTTGCTCGATGACGTTAATCTGTAAAGAAGAGGTCGAGAGAATTCACTAAGGATGTAAGACCAATTCGAGGTTGTATGTCAACGTTTTTGCTCGATGACATTAACCTGTATGGAAGAGGTCGATATAATCCATCAAGGATGTAGGACATATCCGAGGTTGTATGTCAGAGCCTTTGCTCGATGACTTTAACCTGTATGGAAGAGGTCGAGAGAATTCACTACAGATGTAAGGTCTATCTGATGTTGTATGTCAGAGTCTTGCTCGATGACGTTAACCTATATAGAAGAGGTCAAGAGAATCCACTATGAATAAAAGACCTATCCGAGATTGTATTTTAGGGCCTTGCTCGATGATGTTAACCAGTATGGAAGATGTCGAGAGAATCCACCAAGGATGTAAGACCTATCCGAGGTTTGATGTTAGAACATTTGCTCGATGACGTTAACCTGTGTGGAAGAGGTCGAGAGAATTCATCAAGGATGTATAACCTATCCGAGGTTGTATGTTAGAACCTTGCTCGATGACGTTAACCTATATGGAAGAGGTCGAGAGAATCCAATATGGATGTAAGACCTATCCAAGGTTGTATGTCAGAGCCTTTGCTCGATAACGTTAACTTGTGTGGAAGAGGTCGAGAGAATCCATCAAGGATGTGTGACTTATACGAGATTGTATGCCAGAGCCTTTGCTCGATGACGTTAACCTGTATGCAAGAGGACGAATCGAATCCCCCTGGAATTGATTTTTCCTTGATTGGAAGGGGGCGAACACCGCGTGTATCCCAAATCAAGACTATATGAAGCTTATAATTGATTAGAAGTATCCTTGCATTTGCTAAAACTTTCCTGAAATATCATCTTGATGCTAGAAGTATTGGAGGGATCTTCTTAATCATAGTTGGAGTCAAAGTTGCCCCTCTGTTCGGATCTAATTCCCATAAAATTGATGAAGCAATGACTGATGCTAGGAAGTTGACATGAACATCCTCTTGAGGTTGGAGCAAAAATTACCCCCAAGTCGAGAACCACGTTCCCACAGACGACGCCAAACAGTTGCGTCCTGAAGTATTCGCGATAGTAGAGAAATATAAAGTTTAGTGTCTTAGCGTTATACGAAGATCCAGCACACAAGCATATAAGAGAGGGTGTAGCATTTATAAAAGACACTAGAATTTTTTACGTGGAACCCCTAAAAAGGGGGAAAAATCACGGGGCCTGACCCAGTTTGAATGAATCCACTAGTATTTGCAGTCAATTACAAATGAGGTCCTTCCTTAGGAGAAGGCCTTCGCTTGATGTCACAAATATACACCATATAGAGCATATTACATGGTGGGAGTTACATAGACATGTTTATTTGGTCAGTTGGACCATAGTCGATAGGATAGAGGTCGAAAAGACTGTAGTTGGCAGGAGACCGGGGTCAGAAAGACCATTGTCCGACGATGTAGGTCGGAAGGACCATAATATGCAGGAGACTGAGGTCAGAAAGACCGTTGTCTGGTGATATAGGTTGGAAGAACCGTAGAAAGCGACAGAGCTCAGAAGGACCATAGTCGATAATAGACAAGGGTCCAAAAGACCGTTGTAGTAGGGCAGTACTCTGGTAGAACTATAAGCATCAGGTGGTGGTCTGATAGAAGTTCGGTTCTCAGATGGTGGACCAGTAGAAGTCCGAGCCTCAGGTGGTTGTCCGGCAGAAGTCCGGGCGTCAGGTGGAAGTTCAGCGGAAGTCCGAGCGTCAGGTGGTGGTTTGGCGGAAGTCCGGGCCTCAGGTGGTGATCTGACGGAAGTCCGTGCTTCAGGTGGTGGTCCGGCGGAGCAACGACGTTAGGAGATCTTGGGATTGTTGGATTCGTCTCGTCGAGCCGTCGATTCGACTATAAGCACGTCATGTTTGGAAATCGTTCGTTAACCCAAATTGTGGTTCGAACCTTCCAACAGTGCTTCGGGTCCTTGATTTGGACTCATTTGTGCTCAGATTGAGTCGAGTTTAGTGTAGTTGGGTTCGTATTTCCGAGACGTTCAGTTCGACTGCAAGTTTGCTGAAATCGGAGTTCGGATGGTCTCAATTTTAATTTCGAAAGTTTCCAACTTGATTTTGCATCGAAATTCGTGCCCAATGAAGATAATTTTTTTATGACGTATCAATACTCATTGCACAAAAACAACTAGAGACAAATATCATTAACCTGATGCAAGTCTTCCGTATTTTAATAATTTGATCCAGGTTAGTTTTGCTACCATTGTTTTCAACTTTCTTTTCAATTAGTTAAGTTGATATATAATCCCCTTTTGTTCACATCTTTGCAGTGCAATTATTGTACACACCTATTTTAGTATATCCAAGTTTCCTCAAACATAATTCAGATAACCAAGAAAAAAATTAACCTAAGTTAATTCATAATGCCAACCCCAAATTTTCTTTTTAAGCACTCATTTCATTTAGGCCTGCGTAGAGTTAGCACCTAAAATCTCCAGCGCTGAGCAGGTATATCACCACAAGGAAACATGCTTTTGCCAATAGTATGTTTCTACATTAACAAGGACATATAAGAAGGCTCAAATTATATTCATATTTGATAATATGATCAAAACATGGCCATTGCAGCTTTTGAGGAATATTAATCAACTCAGACAACTCTTGTGGATCAGTAATTGGTACATTAACCGCTAAAATGGTAAAGGAATAGCTAGTTCTATCCTGCATTTTGCTTGCATTCATGAACTGGATTTCCTCCCAATTCCCAGAATAACATAAGTTTTAAGTTCGTTCATAATAATCCAGCAAAAGCAGGAATGATTAAAAGAACAGCATGTTTAATACAAAAACATAAACAGCAAATCAGAAGAGCATGGCATTAATAGGTGAGAAAAAATTCGATGAAACCTACAGAAGTTTCGAAACTTAAAGAAAAAATTATTTTAATAATAATAAAAAAAATTTCAATCCAAGTCGGCATAAACATAACAAAAATAGATCAAAAGCTATTACGACATACATCATTAGCCTGTCTTCTTATCTCATTAACGAGCTCTGCTCCAGTTTGTTGCTTTTGTTGGATGAACAGCAATTCCTGAAGTTTCATGAACAATTAGAATCAATTGTAGGCAACATATTTCAGGTCAAATCGTAAGTTTTATATGAAAATTGAACTTATGAGAAATCACGTTGGTACAGAAGAATCAACTTGTTTATGCTAGAAAGATTTATTTTGACGGCTACTTCAGTGTTGGATTCAAGAACTTAGTTATCTTTGTGGATAATCACTTTAAGTCACATATGTTAATTTATTAAAGTGCAAGCCAGCAACTTTTTCTATATTCCACGTCTTCCATTACAAAATAACAAATCTGTCTTTTTGCTATGATTAAAACTCTTATTTTGATAATAGGAGGTTATGCAATCTACATTTAGCTCAATATATGCTAGCCATGAAACCATTCATCAGATTTCATGTTAGTGTACTTGTCAACAGAATTGGATTTTGGAACACAAGCATCAACACCTGCTTGACATAACCATGACATTAATTTTTCATATGAATGTTCCTCAGTTAATTATAGGCCGACGCTATTTCAATTACATGCTATCATCATTAATTAGGTTGGCCATTGATGTAAATAGATGTGAGTAATGTCATCCTCTATAGTGATCTCATTGAAGTTATTTATATATAGTAGCCATCAGGGTAAATTGCTCAAGGAGAGTGAATTTTTTTATTTATTATTATTATTATTATTTTTAGGGAGAGTGAAATATGGAAGCTCTACAAATCGATATATGGGCAAAAACAAAGCCCTTAGGTATTGAATAAAATTTGAAAAATTTTATCTGAAGTTGGCCTTCACAATAAATTTTAGCTAAAGTTGACCTTCGCAACAGCAACACATAAAATCACTACATCATAGTTAAACACATCATCCAACTCTATTATCATGTTAGTCTATGCAGATGACATGTACTTGAAAGGAGCGATAAAAAAAATGTTAACAAAAGTAAAACACAAAATACAAAAGTTTTTCCTAACCAAAGATTTGGGTAGTCCAAAATGCTTTTTATGAATAAAATTTGCCCACAACAAGAGTTGCTTACTCAAAGAAATATGCCCACATTGGGAAGTTGTTCAGTGTATCCTCAGGTATACTAAGAAGTCAACAAAAAAGATTTGATACACTTAACATGCAAAATGACGTGGCTCTTCAAATTGCACAGCCTATGATCTTAAAATGTGATTATCTTGTTGTCATGTGTGTTCTAGTAATCTCATGTTCCATGAAAGAACTACATTGAGGTTAGTTTTCACTACAATTAGGATACATTGCTATCAAAGAAGATTGTTACTTCTCATGTTTCAAACTAAAAACGGATGGCAGATATATTTACTAAGGCTTTGGGTCCATTTCAGATTTCCAAACAATGTGATCAGTTCAAGTTTATTGAAATGTATGATTCAATTTGAAAGGGAGTTTTAGGTTAGTTTCTATTTATAATTGGTCAACTATGCTTATTTTATTGTACCTTCAAAAATTATATTTGGTTCCCCTTAAAAATAATGGGCCCTCATCTTGAAAAATACACAAAGTTTTATTTTCTCTCAGAGGACATAACTCCCAAATTAAGCCATTCAAATGTTAAGATAACTCGAATGTACTTAAAAGAATGAGAATATAACTGAAGTTTCATTAAACTATAAATAAATTAAACATTTTATATGGATTTATGTGTTGGAAATAAAAATATTACTAGAAATCAAGTTTAGTGCAAGAAATATTTTAAGATGGATATGTGGTTAAACTATCGAGGATAGAGTAAGAAACTATTATATTAGAGAAATGATAGAAGCGACAACTATAAGACAAAATAGTGAAAAATAACCAGAGTAATTAGGGGATTTGCAATAGAGGTTAGAAATGCACCAAAAAGACAAGTAGATTGAACTAATGTGCAAAAATCAAATAAAAATAGAGGTAGAAAAAGTGAAATTGGTAGGAGTTGTAAGAAAAGATTGATGCAAGTTAAAGTTAAAGAGAAAAATAAAACTCATTCCTTGCCTTAGCAAAGGAGGAATGAATGGAAGAGGATTTGGAATAAGATAATAATAATGATGACATGTCAGTTCAGGAGAGATAAAATACCAATTACTAGTAGAAGATTCAGTTTGAAATCAAATTAAACTTGAAAAAATCCACTTGTATACAACAATACATACATTTGCATAAGGCGCAGCAGCTTTGATAAATGAAAATTCTGGATCTAGTGTATATCCGATACCTGAAATGAATTTTTTGAAACCAGAAGAATGGTTCACTTAGATATGCTGCAAATAACTTTTAACAAATGAAGGATTCAATTTTCAGAAGGTACATAGATATTGATAAAAGAAACAATTAGCAAATCAAAACAAGTGAAAATATTTCTAAAATTTAGTTGTTATTTGAAAATTATACTTAGGTCAAAGTTTCTTTTATTTGTGAATTCGTGAAAGGTGCGCTGAAGCTTCCTTTTTTAATGTAAATTTTGTCACCTTAAAAACTTATGGTCTGCTTTTATGATCATGCTTTTAATCTACTGTATTCGTGACATGCCATTCTTTCACAACCTAAATGACGACTAAAACTATAATCACCTTATTTGAACATTTTATAACATAAACTAATGTATAAACTTAGAAGGTAATGTTCTCTATATAATAAATAACATGAAAGAAGCACACAATAGCTTGTGTAACTGAGAGCAACAACAACATAATGATGCAAATTTTAGCCAAGTAAAGGATAATAGAAAACTACACAAAAAAAATCAAGACACGGAACAAAAACTGTAATTGAAAAGAAAAAAAACCTAATTCTGATTGATTGCAATTACACAAGCATTATCTTTGCCCCAAGTGTCATTAGCTTTGTTCGTTATTTAGAAAGCAAAAGGTATTATGCTTCTGAGCGTAAATTTATTTGCAACACGACAACACTTAAGCCAGCAATTAAAAAGTGAGTACAGCTGACTTCGCTACGACTCTACCTACAAATGCTTACAAACAGGCAAGTTGTTAAGAAAAGCATATTTACTACAATGAGTTCACAACTTAGCAACACACATCTTAGAGACCCGTGATTAAACCATCACACACATAATTCCAAGGAAATCAAAAGCAGAAGTGCCATCTCCTTCTCATTCATAATTCTAAAGAAATTCCTTTAAGGAGTCCACCAGAATCCTTCCAGCTATATCCAGAAGGTATTTTGATAAAGTGGTTGCAACATACTGGGGCTTCTAGAGACCACAGTGGACCAATACTCACTAAGAAACATTTAGATGGACAGAAGATAAACAAAAGAGACTCAAGAGGTTTGAAGCTCAAGAGGAACTCATACAATGAACTTTGTCATAGCCACCAAGCGAAGGAAAGAAACAAGAGCATTCAAGAAAGATTGAATCATTACTACAGTGCAAGTAATAGAATCATCAACGATTGTCTAGAATTCCTCAATCTTTCCACCTACTAACATATCATCTATATCACCTACAAAATTACAAGACACCAATATTAATCATGCACTAGAAGTTTTTAAATGATGAAATCATATCCACTACAGATAATGAAATCAAGAGGGGTTTTGATTGTTGATTTTTTTAATCTTTATTTCATTCAACTGGACGAGGCAGGATGGGACAAGTGGAAGCTCTAAGAGACACCATTATGATGGGTATGCGATATTCAAGGGACTGAGCGGATCACGAGATTTAAAAAAAAAATTAATTTAACAAATTTTCCATTAAATTTAATCAAATAAACAAAAGAAAAATAATAATTGACATGCGTTGCCTTCTTGTGAATTCCACATCAATCATTCATCCCAATGTGTGTGCAGTTGTCTCGTGCAAGGGTAAAATTTTGGGTTTTTCCTTCGTGCGGCAACCCAACTAATATGGATGTCAATCATTAGAAATTTTCTATGTTTTGGACATGTCAGCACTGCTCATTGTGCAAACGGATGACGTTAGAGGAATTTTTGCATGGTGTGCATCCACAGTTTATCTTTCTAGTTGTATTCAATTGAATTGTTTGCAGAGGTCTTTCATTGATAATTTCGACACTTTGAATGTATCAATGCAATTAATTTTACGGACGGTTTCAATTGGGGCCAAAGTGTTTGAGCTCGTTTTGCGTGATGTCGTGTTACTTGGCCATCACATACATAGTGTTCTCTTGAATTAGTCATGAAATACATAAACAGGTCACAATCTTCTTCTTTTTCTTGTGCTTGTGTGGCCTTTTCAAGGTTTGCATGAACAAATGATCATAAACCAAGAGCCTATTCATGTTTCCTCTAATAAATAGCTGATAGAACAAGAGCAATCTCATTTCTAGTTTTTTTGTTGCATTGGGGTGCAGGTTCTATTAGTAATCCAAACCTTGGATAAAGGTAAATTCAAACCTTCTCATATAGATTATTAGTTTGCATTGCTTTTATGAAAAATTCATAATTAAATCCAAGTCAGAGCATGTATAATGATAACATCATTTAATCCCTATATGAATTATATCTTATGTTCTTTAAATTTAGAGATACATTAATCCATATGCTCCGTGAGTCCTTAAGGGACCCAAAGTATCAGTAGTCAAGCGTTCAACTTTCAATTGAGAGAATGTTTAAATAATATCAAATATGAAACATAGCCAACGCATAAAACATACATGGGATGGGTGTGGGTTTATTTTGGAAAATTTCACACTTTAACTGCCAAGGTACACACAAAATAATGACCATTCTTTCTGAAAGTGACATATATTTGCTAAAAAAAATATTTTGACTGATTTAATTTTTATCTCTAAGAATCCCAGAACCCAATCTGAAATTAATTGTCTAAACAAAAACATGCCCCTTGTTAAGTAATTTATTCACAAGTTTTGATAACAGGTTTATCTACTCTCATCCTAATATCAATATTTGAATTATGCATGCGAGCATTCGTTCCTAAATAATAGTACACAAAATTGAAGAGCATAGTTAAAGCTGTGAAACTTTTACCTTCAATAGTTGAGAACGCCTTCATGACAAAAGTTAATGTTGAAGGTAAACGTAAAGGCTGATCTGTTGCTATTGCAAACAAATCCTGAAGAACATCTTATAAAAAATTGTCTCCAAAAAAAAAAAGCATAAATTTTTATTTTGACTAAGCCTACCTCACCAATCTTGGCCAAAGTTTGTTGTTTATCGGGTGACTGGCTTAATAGATTATCCAAGAAAAATTGTATGGACCTTTTTACCTGCAGGTCAAGAAGCTCAATCATGCCAGGCCAAACACTACAACTTGGAAATTATTATATATGCTTCACTAACTGATGACGTGTCTCCTGTTGGCTTAAGTGCCTCAACTTCAATGAGGTTCCTCATAACCTAAATGCAAAAGCATTAAACAATAGCTTTGTCTCAGTATCCAAGAATTGCAAGAAACATGGCATATTCTAATAAATAATAAAGATTCCCTTTTATGTAAAAGACAAACACACATAAAACGAGTAAACTAAAGCTAGCTTCTCCAATATCCAAAGTCCAAACTCATTTTTAATTCTGATAAAGCATTTAAACACGATTGGTATTGCAAGTATATAAATAAATAAGAATGAGAAAAGCAAACGTAAGTACAATTTATCATGGAAGGCTGGCTTTTGTAAGCTTATAATAATATGCCATGGGAGTTGGAAAAAGATAACTGAACAGGGAGAATTTTCCACAATCCCTTATTAAGTTTTTTAGATAGGTTATGCAATCAAAATTCATATATCTGAATATTACAGTCAAATGATTGCAGACTTTTCTTGGGAAATGTAGAATGCTGAAGTAAGATTTTACATAGGTGAGATTTGATCTCAAAACTTTGGCAGATCTTTACCAATTAAACAAAATTATTAATTTATTTTGCTCCAATTACACTATGAAGTACCAAACATTCATCTTTTGATCTAAACTATATATATATATATTCGTCATCCATGCATCTCAAATTGTGTGTCATATCTTATGGGCAAATTTACTTTTCACCTTCATACAACGGATAGGGCAATATGAGTGTTTACACTTAATAATTTTGATGTTTTGAATGCGTCAACATAGTCCTTTTTGTGAACGTGTGTCATTTGAGTAGAATTAGCGCAAAGTCACATCCATGGTAAGTCATTTTTTCATCATGTGTATTTGGTGATACGAGAAATCATTTATGGGTATTTTCAACATTAGTGATTTGTCGATGTAATTTGTTTGTAAAATGAGCAATGATTGAGCAGTTTTGCACACACCATCGAGTTCATCATTTGCCATATATGTCAACATAATCTGTTTCACAAATGGGTAGCATTTGTGCAATGTTGTTTCAGTTGATTGTCTTTTTGAACATGTTTCACTTAATTAACTGCGAGGCATGTATGATGGTCAAAATAGAGATGACCATAATGTCATGCAAGCCGTAGAGTTAAAACATTAATCACTTGTGGATAACAACAGTGAGAGTCTCGTAAGCATAGCGATCCACTGTGGACACAAATATTGATATCATCTACGACAGCGGTGATCAAAATCTCTAAGTACACCGGGTACAAAGGCAACCCGATGTACGAAAAAAGACATCCCCTGACAAAAGGAAGGACATGTTTGAACAAATTAGAACCAAACTTCCTGGTGTTCGCAAGCCTCTTCTTAGTCTTACACTTAAGAAGAAAACAGTTCTGGTGCCCACAAACACCGAAAATAACAAGTCCACTACACTGATGACCTCAAAGGGAGCTCTCTTCAAAGCAACAGACTTCAAAGTTCAGAAAGACGTTCCCCGGTGAATGAGAAAGGGGGTTCAACATCAAAATGATGAAATGTCTTATGACATTAAAATCACCATGCCACCGGATCCGCAATACTCGTGCTAGCGGACAGAAGGCGTGTACAAGCCCTCAAATGAAAAGTTGTGCGCACTCAAATGGCTGTTACCTGCACAACTACAAAATATTTCAACGTACCCCCACACAAGTGCACCTTAGTTTGTATACGCATAGGTACACAAGGGATAAATTCAATCGTAACCCGCTTGGGCCCCGGCGAGCGTGTTATTGTTACACACGTGACGCCTAGGGATGCTGCGCGGGTCGATAAGTAAATTCTAGTTCGAACCTGATCCTTCTATACAGATCAATAGAAGTCGACAGGGTTCGAACCATTAAGCAAATATAAAGTTGTGGCGACCGGTATATTTGTTTTAATACATTCAAGGCCTACAACAATATGAATTCACTAATAAAGGCACGAATCCTACAAAACCCGATCCTCAGTCAATAGCTCGGCTGAGTTGACAGGGTTCGATCAGACAAATGGAAATAACCCCCAAACACTCCGATGATGGTCGTGTTGAACGATGATCTCAACCGGAGGGGTTAATTTCAAGCATTTTCAAATGCCTCCCCAAAAGTTCATTCAAAATTCAAACTCCACAAATCTCAAAATATCAAATATTTAAAATTGAAATTATCCCTAAAACACTTAAAACAAAATCTATCCACCCTCCGCAATAATTTGCCGGGGTGGACAAATTAAAACTACTATAGCTCACAAAGAGCCAAATGCCTAGTCGAAAATATCATTAGGGTCCATTCTCAAACAATCTCCTGCTAATAAGGACATGGCACGTGTCATCTAATCGGCGGTCTGCCGCCAAATGGCACCGCAGGATAAACGGTTACGACGATCCGGGACCCTCTGAACCGAGTGATTTTGCCGCCAAATGGCACCACGAAATACCGGTTATGGCCAGAGCCAATACGTTCCTTGTTGGCATCAAATCCTTGAGATATGAATCAATATGATATGATCGATAGGGCACAAAGCCCTATGTTAGCTAAGGTGGATTCAAATTTGTCCCCTTAGGCAAATATTCACCCCAGGTCTACAAGGTCCCCTTGGAGGAAGCAACCCATGGCTGCCGACAAGGATCCTTCTGTTAGGTTGGGTCGACTACCTCCTCTGACTAAGTAGACCAGGGACCACGATGGCCCGGGACAACGGAACCATGGGATCTTGATCGGGCCCATCATCCATTCCCTCACTATCCGCTTTAAGTGCAAGATGATGCAATTTTTATTTTAAATATCAAATCTTCCAACCCAAAATCCAAAAACTCAACTCTTCAATTCCCCAAATCCAAACTTTTCAAATTCCTATGCCCATTGCTGCTACTATATGCCTGGTACTACGTATCTATGGATACAACGTATATGATTGACGACTAGCCTTAATCGAAAGTTTTCTCTCGTGATCGGGAGGGGTAATTAACTATAGGGACTTGCGTCTATAGGAAACCAGATCTCAGATCATAAAGTCCTCACAAAATGGGGGCGAAATCTCTGGGTAGTGTCTTATCTACAATCCATCTGCCTTTCAAAATTTACCCCGGAACTTATTCCGTTAAAACTCCCTCGCCGAATAAAAAAGAAAAGTGCGGTGGGGAGGCCGGGGCCGAATTTTTGGAGCCCACAGCTGACCTCGCTACGACTCTACCTACAAATGCTTACAAGCAAGCAAGTTGTTAAGAAAAACATATTTACTACAATGAGTTCACAACTTAGAACCACACATCTTAGAGACCAGTGACGAAACCATCACACACATAATTCCAAGGAAATCAAAAGCAGAAGTGCTATCTCCTTCTCATTCATAATTCTAAAGAAATTCCTTTAAGGAGTCCACCAGAATCCTTCCAGCTATAACCAGAAGGTATTTTGATGAGTGGTTGCAACATACTGGGGCTTCTAGAGACCATAGTAGACCAATATTCACTAAGAAACATTTAGATGGCAAAAAGATAAACAAAAGAGAGTCAAGAAGTTTGAAGCTCAAGAGGAAATCATACAAAGAACTTTGTCATAGACACCAAGCGAAGGAAAGAAACAAGTGCATTCAAGAAAGATAAAATCATACTACAGTGCAAGTAATAGAATCATCAACCATTGTCTAGAATTCCTCAATCTTTCCACCCACTAACAAATCATCTATATCATCTACAAAATTACAAGACACCAATATTAATCATGCATTAGAAGTTTTAAATGATGAAATCATTTCCACTACAGATAATGAAATTAAGAGTGGTTTGATTGTTGATTTTTTTTAATCTTTATTTCATTCAACTGGACGAGACGGGATGGAGACAAGTGGAAGCTCTAAGAGACACCATTATGATGGGTATGCAATATTCAAGGGACTGAGCGGATCACGAGAACAAAAAAAAAACTAATTTTTCATTAAATTTAATCAAATAAATAAAAGAACAATAATAATTGACATGCGTTGACTTCTTGCACAATTCCACGTCAATCACTCATCCCAATGTGTGTGCAGTCGTCTGGTGCGAGGGTAAAATTTTGGGTTTTGCCTTTGTGCGGCAACCCAACTAATAAGGATGTCAATCATTAGTAATTTTGATGTTTTGGACATGTCGACACTGCTAATTTTGCAAACGGATGACAATAGAGGAATTTTTGCGTAGTGCGCATCCACAGTTTGTCTATCTAGTTGTATTTGATTGAATTGATTGCAGAGGTCTTTCATTGATATTTTCGACACTTTGAACGTATCAACGCAGTTCGTTTTATGGATGGTTTCAATTGGGGTCAAAGTGTTTGAGCTCGTTTTGCGTGATGTCGCGTTACTTGGCCATCACATGCATAGTGTTTTCTTGAATTAGTCATGAAATACATAAACAGGTCAATATCTTCTTCTTTTTCTTGTGCTTGTGTGACCTTTTCAAGGTTTGCATGAATAAATGATCATAAACCAAGAGCCTGTTCCTGTTTCTTCTAATAAATAACAGACAGAACAAGAGCAATCTCATTTCTAGCTTTTTCGTTGTATTGGAGTGCAGGTTCTATTAGTAATCCAAACCTTGGATAAAGGTAAACTCAAACCTTCTTATATAGATTACTAGTTTGCATTCCTTTTATGAAGAATTCATAATTAAATCCAAGTCTGAGAATGTATAATAATAACATCATTAAATCCCTATATGAATTATATTTATTTTCTTTAAATTTAGAGATTCATTAATCCATATGCTACGTGAGTCCTTAAGGGACCCAAAGTATCAGTATTCAAGCGTTCAACTTTCAATGGAGAGAATGATTAAATAATATCAAATATGAAACATAGCCAACGCATAAAACATGCATGGGGAGGTGTGGGTGTATTTTGGAAAATTTCATACTTTAAGTACCAAGGTACGCACAAAATAATGACCATTGTTTCTGAAAGTGACATATATTTGCTGAAAAAATTACTTTGATTGCTTTAATTTTTATCTCTAAGAATCCCACCACCCAATCTGAAATTGATAGTCTAAATAAAGACATGCCCGTTGTGAAGTAATTTATTCACAAGTTTCATAACAGGTTCATCTCTCATCCTAATATCAATATTTGAATTATTTATGCGAGCATTCGCTCCTAAATAATAGTGCACAACATTGAAGAGCATAGTTAAAGCTGTGAAACTTTTACCTTCAATAGTTGAGAACGCCTTCATGACAAAAGTTAATGTTGAAGGTAAACGTAAAGGCTGATCTGTTGCTATTGCAAACAAATCCTGAAAAAAACATCTTATAAAAATTTGTCTCAAAAAAAAACATACATTTTTATTTTGATTAAGCCTACCTCACCAATCTTGGCCAAAGTTTGTTGTTGATCGGGTGACTGGCTTAATAGATTATCCAAGAAATATTGTATGGACCTTTTCACCTGCAGGTCAAGAAGCTCAATCATGCCAGGCCAAACACTACAACTTGGAAATTATTAAATATGCTTCACTAACTGATGACAGGTCTCCTGTTGGCTTAAGTGCCTCAACTTCAATGAGGTTCCTCATAACCTAAATACAAAAGCATTAAACAATAGCTTTGTCTCAGAATCCAAGAATTGCAAGAAACATGGCATATTCGAATAAATAATAAAGATTCCGTCTTATGTAAAAGACAAACACACAAAAAACGAGTAAACTAAGGCAGTAAGGCTAACTTCTCCAATATCTAAAATCATTTTTATATCTGATAAAGCATTTAAACACTATTGGTATTGCAAGTATATACATAAATAAGAATGAGAAAAGCATACGGAAGTACAAATTATCATGGAAGGCTGGCTTTTGTAAGCTTATAATAAAATGCCCTGGGACTTATAAAAAGATAACTGAACAGGGAGAATTTTCCACAATCCCTTATTAAGTTTATTAGATAGGTTATGCAATCAAAATTCATATATCTGAATATAACAGTCAAATGATTGCAGAGTTTTCTTGGGAAATGTAGAATGTCGAAGTAAGATTTCACATAGGTGAGATTTGATCTCAAAACTTTGGCAGATCCTTACCAATTAAACAAAATTACTAATTTCTTTTGTTCCAATTACACTATGAAGTACCAAACATCCATCTTTTGATTTAAACTAATTTAATTATAATATATATAGAAGGTAATAGAAACAGACTATAATCAAAGATGGGTTTCTTATTATATTCTAATAGGTAATTTATAATCACCATTGGCGCAATGCTTTACAGTGTACCCACACAAAAAAAGTTAGAAAACGGGGAAAACCTGGAACATATTCTAGTGTCAAAACCTTTGTAGAAGTATAATCCCAAAGCACAGCCTACGAAAGATCAGATATCTAGCTCTATTCAGAATGTTGATTGATAAATTGTCAAATCCACAATCAATATATGACTACATCCTACATATCAAAAAGAAGATCAAGTAAGAAGAAACATACAGGTATGTGAACCCACTTCACATTACGAAAATCTCGACGGAATCTATCAGCATTCCTTGCTTCATTAATATAATCAATTTCTTGATATAAAATTCTGCAATTGAAATGATAACGTCAATTAGAATATATATATATACATAAAAGAAATGCATCCAAGAACAGAATCCAGGAAAATTAAAAGCAGTAAGACAAATAGACGCAATATTTAATGTACAAACATTATTTTAGAAAACCTATTGAGTGTTGAAAAGCCGATAAAAAATAGGGGTAAATTGCAATCAAAAGAATTTTACAAATACCAACAATGCCATTTCTTTTCAACATATCTCCTTGTTCCTATGTTTTTCTCTCCCAATGCATCTTGTCACTACCACTAAACTATTCGCAACATCATTGAGATTAGGTGTTGTGTTGTCACGATCATCAATGACATACAACCTACGTCTCATTTTTCCTTGAATTCTGCATCTCATCTCTATCATCTTTCTCATTCACCAATATAAAAAGAAACATTGCCGTTGGAATGGTTCCAAAATGCATCGCCCAATTGACGTCCCTGCAGCCACTAACTTCACAGGTCAAGCTTGATGCAGCTAAATCTCCTCTCCCTACAATTTATTTCCCTTTTTGCTGTTTAATTACATAATTTTTTAAATAAATTAGTATGAAAATCACTTAACCTATGTTTCATTTTAATATTACTGAAGCTGAACAAATGCCCTAATCATCCAGTTGGAATTCTGCCTAAATGATTTTGAAAGCAACGGCTGTGATTTACTTGAGGATTAATATGTATAAACGAATTTTTTATATATGTATGTGATGGACCGGTGGTATATGCATTAAGACTAAAAAGAATAATCCCAATTTTCCCATTTCCTCAGTTTGTGATCTGAAGCTGATTGAAACAGGGCGGGGGCGGGTAGGAGCTGGACCATGCAAGAAGAACAGTGGATGGGAAGGAGGAAAAGGAAGAAAGAAATAATGATTTCAACTTAAAATTCGATTTCTCATGATTTTCTTTGTTATATTGACTTCGACCTAAAGTAATAGGCTTTGAGATTTATATGAGGAGAAGTTATTTTAAGGTTAAATTGATTTAAATTGTGTGAAGTTGGGATATAATTTTAAAGCAATACATTTTTTTGGTGTGAAGAATACATAATTGTCTATGTTGTGGGCACTTGTTCTTGAGTGTTAAGATAAAAATATATATGTTTTTTTATGCAGGTGGTCATGTTCAAAAGAGAGCAAATAATTAAGTCATGATTGCCTAATAATATTTGCTTGTAGGTGCTATTTAAAACCCCCAAAAAGACATGATAAATAGGGTAGAAGCTGGTCTGACACTTTAAGTACCAGGCAAATTTGTGATGCTCCTCCTCTTATATATTGCATGTGTTTTTTAATCCTTGAATTTTAGGTTTGGGTCTTTTTTACTCTACAAATGTAATTAATAGACTTAAAAATTTGTGTGGGCACGGGGCACACAGTTACAAGAGTGATAAACCAGAAAGATGAATCTCCAAAAGAAGCCATGGATGCATCAAAAGCCAAAGCTCGAAGACCCACAAGCCGAGTTTGTATTTATAACTAGATTGTATAAGGCAAACAACCCAACGCTCAACTTCAGGACATTATATGTTTGCAATAATGTGAATTTTACACTTCACTTTGCTATTGTCCATTTTTTAATACAGGTGATTCATTGTTTATTTCATATGTGCACTAAAAATATCTATTTTTTTCCTATGTTACTTCACTTGTTTGATGTGGGAGTGATCTAGATATGTGCTAGGAAACACTTATAGATCTCAACTATCTCCTATAAATCTTCAGACAAACAGCGAGAATCATCCACAAAAATCCGCACAAAATCACAAAAATAGTAGATAGTTTGTATTATTTGATGAAAGGGAAACGAAAGCAAGATACAATTGATCCTCTATTCAAGAGGAGGATCAATCTCTCCCAAATCCCTAGACGCCGCTAGAGCCCAGAGAAAAACCTAAATCTAAGAGAGATCAAATTTCAGCCAAATTCAAGATGCCTTAACCCTAGGAAAATAAAGTATTTAATGCATACAAATCAAAAGGAAATCACTAAACAGTCCCTACATTCAAATTTCCCTCCCAAATCCCTCAAAAATCCTTCCTAAAATGCTTCGTTTGCTTCGGCGGTTCACACGGCATCCGCAAGAGGCGGAAGAGTTCTGTTGTTTCACCCATAAGCTGGTCCAGCCGGTCCGCTGTTTCGCCCATAAGCCAGTCTCACCTGGACCGGCTGGACCGGTCTAACAACATGTTTTATGCAGTAGACTCTAAGGACAAAACAAAGTTTTCTATTAATTAAGATTTAAATAATAAAAGAATCAACTATAGGGAAACACATGTTTTCTAGCAAAATTGGATGGCTGATCGAAAATAAACCAAAATTTTAAAATAAAAAAGAGCATATCATAGCCTAATGAGTTGCATGTAGAATCCCTCACATTAAGGAATACATAACAAAAATGCATTATGAGTCAATATCTGCATACCCATATGGTCAAGCATCTTGGCTTAAGTGGTTAAGCTGTAAGTTCTATTTTTTAAAATCAAAACAGTTTTGTCAATCGTACATATGCATTAGACTAGACTTTATGATTTAAAAGCACTTAGGTGGGTTAGCTAATAGTCCTTTCCAAGCAAAATTGTAAGTCCATAGTTGGGCTTGCTTAACTCAAGGAGGGGTTTCAAGTCTGTAGGTCATTTGCATTCCTCTAGATATCAGTTATAATTACTAACTATCATTGGTTATCACCTTATATCGAGATTCTAATACTGATGTTCTTTTTAGTTAAATCACAAGCTCTCACTTTCCTAAGCATTTCCTCCAGCTCATGCTATTAGAATGGAAGCCCCAACCTTTTAAATTAAATTGATTAACTTCAACCTAAATCTAATTTTAAAATGCAAAACCCAACATATATTAGTTAGTACCTCTAATTTCTCAGAATTAAACACTCCTGCAAATTCCTCATTTAGCTTCCATACCAAAAAATTGATTTCAAGTTTATTCAATCATCTTTGAAATTCCCAAAGAGTAAACTTTTAATAAGAATTTTTGAGATAAATCATATAAAATATTAACCAATATTTTGATGAAAGAACGTAAATCACTCTTTTTAATCAAAAATTTTCTCAAGGGACAAATGTTTGAGATGTAATTAACCATAAGGTCTTAACCCTGTGGGGAATCTACGCCCCAAAATAAAATAAACTCTACTCAATCAAATATATTTGATAGGGAAAAACTTTGGTAATATAAAAAATGCAAGTTTTGTTATCGAGACCATTGCAAAATAATATTTTTATCCATCGAGATAATATATTAATTTATATGTCGTACTCGATCACAAAATAATTTAATCCATTGAGAATATCAAAATTCCACCAACATGATCGTGCCTTAATTAGTGAAAATATTAAATGATGCTCCTAAAACTAATGTCATATAAAATGTTATAATTTGCTGAATAAGATATAAAATACTCATGACATCTCATGTATATATAATTCTATTGGTGCACTTAAAATATATAATCATCGCTAATATGATAATGATATATTACTCTGGCAAATCTATCCAAACGAGCCTAATAATCAAAGTTATGACTCTATTGAGAGAGGCCAACGAACTCCACAGGGTTGGTGACTACCCTCCTATTGATGACCAAGATTATTAGGAGAAGTTGACATATACAACACAATATTGTTGATGAAACACTCCTTAATGCATTCGATGATGCTCATTGTTTTAATTAACTATCACTTTTTACCTGCTATTTTTGGACACTCGAATTATTATCATTGTTTAATAGTTATTTTTTATAGTATTTCTTGTTATATAAACTTACTATAGGCGCCTATATATCTTTTAGATGAAATAATGTTTCAATTAAATTTCAATGAATTTTCATTAGATAAATTATGATGTCATTAGATTTTACATGAACACATGCATGCATGTATATGTGTGTTATCTTTGTAACAAAAAAGCAAGCCTTAATAAAAGGTATTTATAGTTAGTTCTCCAGCACTAAACACTGTCCAAGATTAATGTAATGTCAAAGTCCAATGTACTGCTCTTGGATGGGCTCAGCCTTGCATCTACGAAGACCTGAGAGATTATTTGCATGCAATGTTTGGGCCAATACTCTAAACCAAATCAAGTGAACATCCTCAATTCCATTCTATTCTCAAAAATTCAAATCTTTCCAAAAACTCCTGTAAATTGTTCTTTCCTATGGCATAGACAAGGCAAATTTTCATCATAGTCTCCACCATTGGCAAGTCATGTCATTCAGGACAACAAAGAAGAATATAATATAAGTAAAATGAGACCTAGTTCTTCTCTATATGCAAAAGTAGCCAACTTAAAGTTGACCTAAAGCATTGAAAAATTTCTTTAAATTTTGAAGTTAAACTCCTAAACATCATATAATCCATATGAGTTAACCATAAGAAAAAAACAAAGTAAAATCATTTTTTATGGCCCAAACCCTAGATGAGAATGATTGAGTTTAATGTTAGGGAAATCACAAATTCTAAAGCTTATAACAAAATCAAAATGAATCAAATTTATATGTGCTAAGATGTTTATCAGATGTGCAATGAACTAACCAACTTGTAATGCTACAACTTTACAAGAAATTATATGAACTATAAATATTATAGAACTACATGGCATAGATAAAAAAATAAATGCTTGAAAAACATGATGAGAGGGAAGCATTTACTTGGAACACTCATCATATATGCCAATCCAATCCTTTGAGAACCCTCCAAATGTCTCACTTTGCTGAAAATACTCAGCTATAAGTTTCAGGTTCCCTAATTTAAAAAAAGAATCAGAATCTAGTATAATTACATTATGACAACAAAAACTAAAATGAAAATAGTTGCAATTAATGGCGCAACCAAAAAAAACAAGCATCCTATTTCAATTGTATCTAAAAAGTTGCATGACGATGACCAAAAAAAATATATGATAGATTACAAGTCTAATTGATACTAGTTTTGTTGTGTGCTTCAAAATTTTGATGATGATTAAAAAAAATTAGTTGCATATGATAAAATTAAGAAAAAAATATAAAACATTAAGTGATTTTGATAAGGTTTAGAATTATTTTAATTAATCATAGAGCATCCAAATAATAAAGCACTATTAGCAACATTACTTCTTTTACTAGGATATATTGAGTCTTACGAGATAGAATTCTCCTGCTTCTTGAAGAAATTATTTATGATATATTATGAAAATGTTATAAACTTATAATTCTATCAAACAGAGGAAACATCAACATGATGCCCAAGTATAATAGCACTACATGTCCTTGGGTTTCTTGTAGCAATAAGAATATAGCAAATAGAGTTCCCGGATGGTTAATTAGGCATATATACATATGGAATAATTGGATGAGAAAATACAATGAATACCTAATATGAATACCTAATAGAAATATTCCAAATTAGAACGTTTAGGCTGTATAGCTTTAAGAATTCAGAAAAAAAACATACCAATAGCCAAGTTTTAGTACTGCATATACAAGGATAATAATTAATTTGTAGTAAAACTACAATGGATGGAAAATATTATAATAGAAGAAAAACATTAAATGGAACACAATACATCGAGTTTTATGGTTTTATTTTCCATGTTTCGAACACGAAATACATCAAATTGTCATGGATAACATTCACCAACAATCCAGCAATACCATAGCTATGCCATTATTGTACCATAACCTAAATTGGGATCTTTTTGCTAGTTATTAAGTTTAGAATTGAAAAAAAAAAAAACAAAATAAAAAATGTTAAGTTTAAAATTGATTCACTTTTCTGTGGTCATATATATCGCTATTGACTTATAAGAGATGAGTCTAAAGTTTTGAATAAACTTTGTGAAGCTTTTATTCTAATGCTCAATAGATAGAACTCTTATCCTTATAAGGAATGTAACAAATAATTCAAGTTATTGTGCAACACAAGTCCCCTAGAAAAAACCTCAATATCAAATCAGACTTCAAACATAGCTGCATCCAAAGAAAAATGCACATTAGCCTTATGAAAGAGACAACAGACAATGGATGCGACATTGTCCGAAGCAGGTCTGAAACAGCTCGACCACTGCTGAAACCACTCGAACGTCGCACACTCACGAAACGAACCATGCCAGCGGATTCATAGCGTAAAAAATAATAAAGAAAGCACCTCCTACGCTCAACTCGATCAAACTCAATGAAAAAGACGGATTACGAATGTGACATCACGCAAAAGTCGCCTAAATCTTGCTCATTCGCAAAATGGATTGCACCGTGTATGTAATGTCAAAATTATTAGAGAGGATACTCATATTGCTTTGGTTGCCTCTAAAATCCCTAACCTGCCTCGATAGCGAGGAGTCGTGGAAGCTGAAGATGGGGAGGTCGAGGGTGTCGAAGTAGACGAAGAGAGAAGATGTCATTCGGATTTCCGGTCACAGTCGGCTTAGTCGATTGGAGTTGATAAATGAGCCAATTCCGTCTTTAGGAAGTCAAAGGAGACGAACGCGGAGAAGCTCGATTTGTGTCTGTTCCGTTGTGGCATTGAGGGAGTTGAAGGAGTTCCGTCTCGGTCTCCGTCGTCGGCTTTGTCGGTTGGTGAAGGAGGAGACGAAGGTATTTCATCCCTACAAATTTGCGAGAGAGGGGCTAACAAGGGAGACCGAGAGAGGAAGCGAGGATACGTGAGCAGAGGAGTGGCTGGGACAAGTGAGAGTTGCGTGAGGAAAAGATAAGGAATTTTATTTTAGTATTTAAATATTTTAAATTATAAATTAAAAAAATTAATTTAGAAAAAACTTATGTTAAAAGAGAAGAGAATTTTATTAATAAAAATTTAAGTTATGTTTAGATTTCTTTATTTGGTGATTAAAAAATATGTTAATATCTTTTTAAAATAAAAGAAACAAAAAATCTTATATAATACTTAATTATTAAATTTTAAATTTCTTATTTTTTTTAAAAAACAAATTAGTAAACTATTAAGACAATTTAATCTACAATTTCATATTATGAAAATGATTGTACTAAAATTTAAAATTAAAAATATTATGATAATAGAAAATATATAAAAGGGGAGAGAGCATAAATTCATAGGATTTTTATTTATACAATCCATACATTAAATTATTATTAATAAAATAATTTAACTATTTATAGAAAAAAATGAGAGTAATAACTTACTAGAGATGCCAATAAATTATATTAATAAAGAAATTTTCTAACTAAATTATTATTTTTATTCATATTAGAGCAAGGAGAATAGATTTTATCATTTATTTAATTCTTTTAGAAATAAATTAAATACAAGAGCTAAGTATATTCAATAACTAGTTAGAGAAAGATATTTATCTTTAAAATTTTAGATTTATGATATAATACATTTAAAGTATCGTGCCGAGTATTTGAGTGTTCATGTTTGTGTTCGTTTAATATCAGCTTGTTCAAGTTTGGTTCTTGTTTGTTTGAGCTTTATTGTTCGTGTTAGTGTTTGGTTCATTTAAATTTATGAGCGTTCATTGAGTGTTCATGTTCAATTCATATTCGTTCGTTTAGTACTTATCGAGCTTGTTCGTGAACATATTTAACGAATTTTTTTAACTATCAAATAAACACGTTCATGAACATATCTATGAACAAACATATTTATAATAAAAGCAATTGTCTATGTAACAAAGGCAATGATTATTTATATTTATTAATTTTATAGTTAAATATTAATTATTTTTATCGAACTTATCACGAGTTCAAAATCAAACACGAATCGAGCTTTTATCGAGCTTCTTATCAAGCTTAATGTCGAGCTTGTTCACGAACTTCAAATGATGTTGTTCGCGAACATAAATGAGCTGAACGCATTAGTGTTCAAGTTTGTTTATTTAAGAATTGAGTATTTAAAATATTGTTCAAGTTTGTTTGTTTAGTTAATTAAATGATCACAAACGAGCTTTAATCGAACCGAACAACGAGTAGCTCGTCAGACGTTTGGTTCGCTTGCAGCCCTAATAGAGTATACTCTTATCCATCAACTTTGCCTGAGTCTCACCGCTTCCTATCTCTGTATTTCCCTCTGGTTCTCCTAGGCCTCGTTTGATTAGACTTTTTTTCTCCTTTCTCCATTTGTATAAGTCAAAATCAGTTACTTTGGATTGTTTGGAAACAAAACATAACCGTAATTACTTGTTAATAAACATCATTTTTGTGGCAGCTACAATTTTTTCTTTATCTGCTTATTCGTTCCCAAATCACCATTTTAGAGTAATAGCACTTAATACTTTTTTTTCTTTTCTATATATTGATTATTTAACGGGCATCTCGGATTCTCGGTAATTGTTAGTTCTGATCTTTTCTATGGAGATTCACACACTGCTATCTATTTGAAAAACTATGGAAAATGTCATATGTGATACTCCAAATTGGCTCTATGAATGGACATCTGGACATAATTTATTATTAGTTTCTTAAGAATTTATTAGAAATTCGATACGTTGGTTAACAATTTTATCAATTGTTAATAATTTTTATCTCTTCCATCTCTAAATAAGAGACTTTTGAGTCATTTAAATATAGTTTATGGTATGAATAAAACTTCATTTTTGCATGTGAAAATTCTACTACAACAATTCCAAGATTTTGATTATTGAACAAGTATGCCAGTTGAAATTATCTCCAAATCCAATTGTCAAGCTTGCTTTCTTGTGAATTATTTCTTGTCTTAATCTTTCTAAGACATTTTATTATTAATTATAAAGATCCATTGCATTTAGTCAAATTTAATACAATCTAATTTCCATCAAGAGTGTAAATTTATGAAGCACCGACACGGACATAACACGACATGGATATGGTCACGACATGACACGGACACGGGACACGGCATTTTTTAAAAAATATAGGACACGGGTGCGGCGTGGACACGACATAATAATTTTTTAATATGATATATAGAAATTAATGTGACATTATATTAAAAATGACAATCAATAATAAATCAATTTCATGATAATTTGTTTAGCTTATAACATAAAGGTGTTTAGTATAAAATGTCTAGTACAACCACAAAAATATAAGCAGAAAATCATTTAATACAACATGAAGGTCCGACTACTCATAATGGATATTCTCTATTTGAACTACTATAGTTCAACATAAAAATTATAATTTCATTTATATCTTCATTATTCATTGTTTTTATCTAGATAAGATTGTAACAAGCCAATCATACATAAGAATACATCAAGTTAAATTGATATGAAATAAAATCAAAATATCTCAATAATAAGACAACATGAATACAACAATATACCGGTCTGCCAGGGGTCCAAGGGGGCGCTGCCCCTTGGTAGGGCTAGTCAGGTCGTGGGGTCAAGGAGCAACACCCCTGCGGGGGTTTTTCGGGGGCAACGCCCCCGAAACAAATTTTTAGGGTAAGAGTAATTTTGAAGTTCTGCTTGTTTTTAAAGTTCATAAGTTATTTTTATGGAAAGATACCGAACGGTATTGAGCATGTATCGAGCGGTACCGAGCATGTACCTAGCAGTACCGAGCATGTACTGAGCAGTACCGAGCATGTATCTAGCTGTATCAAGCATATACTGAGCGGTACCGAGAATGTACTGAGCGGTACCGAGCACATACCTCGCGGTACCGAGCACGTACCTCGCGGTACCGAGCACGTACCTAGCGGTATCGAGCATGTACTGAGTGGCACCGAGCATGTACTGAGCGGTACCGAGCATGTACTGAATGGTACCGAGCATGTATCTAGCGATACCTAGAGGTATCGACCATATACCTAACGAATCAGACGATTTTATTATTTAATAACCGGACACGCATGTCCGATTTTAATTTTAATTTTTTCAATTGCGACACTCCAATGCCGTGTAAGACACGTGTCCATGCAGTGTCGGACGCGTGTCCGTGTCCGACACTACATACCCTCTTTAAGCGGAGTGTCGGTGCATCATAGTAAGCCCATTAGAGCATATATTCTAAAGTATTTCCTCTGATTTCTAATTGTTAAGTTGTGGTATAAGTCCATTAGATTTTTTATAAAATTGATTTCCATCATGTTATTTATTTTCTTCATATGCAATTAAAAATTGCTTAAGCTTGACGGATTGTGTCCTGCAATTTTTGTCTCACTGTTGTATGCTTTTCAGCATCTCATATTAGATCTAAATTAGAAACCCTAAACCACCCTAAAAATATCCCACAACACTGCAAAGAGAGAGATAACATGCATAAATAAAAGGGAGAGATTAAATATGGCGATAAAGCTGTAGATATAAGTGCTTAAGTAGTTCATGGAATGATAAAAGAAAAAGAAATAGTTCCACATTTCTTACTCAAATCGATGTCAAAAAGCCGCTTGAGACCAGGCCTCTGAACTTTTATAACAACATTCTCTCCATTATGTAAGATAGCTCGATGAACCTACAAATATGAACACAAACTCAGTAACAAAAACTATCAGAAAAACCAAAAATAAAAATAAAATCCCAAAATTCATCAAGATAAATGATGACTAATTAAGCTTAAATAATTAGTTTAATTATGCTTGAGAAAATATAAATTATGTAAAAAAGATTATTTAAAATAATTTAATTTCAATGTATTCAAAGATCTAGTGATTACACCTCAAGCTAAAAACATGTACAAATTTGGATAAAATTATTTAATTAAGTGTGCATATGTATATATATATATATATATATATATATAATGCTCTAAAACTAGCATACTTATGCAATTGATAAGAAATTTTTATACTTAAAATATATGATAACTCCAGAGTTAAGATAAGAAAATTATACTGCATGTAATCCTTAAGGTGTAAAAAATATGTAGTAAGGAATTATGCAATTTAGTTTTATGTTTGGAGCTTTATATATATGCACATCTTTTTTCTTATCTGTAGTAAGATGACTATGATTTTGGAGCAACTAATGAAGGTGGTAAGACTATATTAGATTTTTCTTTAGCTTATAATTTTATAATTACTAATATCTTATTTAAGAAAAAAGATGAGCATCTCTATCACTTATAAGAATGGATATAGTATCTCTATCACTTATAAGAATGAATATAGTAAAACTCAGATTGTTATTTTCTTTTAAGAAAAATAGATCCTTTAAATTGCAAATATTGTAGTTATTCCGAATGAAAGTTTATGTACTCAACATCGCTAGTTAGTTTTGAACTTTAAGATAAAGAGTTGAAAATAAAAAATAAAGTAAATCATTGTTATAGAATTAGATGTGATCATTTAAAGAATATTAACAAAAATATTTTTGAGAGTAAGATTCTAGATCTTAAGATTTTGTTTGTGCATGAAGAAGTTAATGTTGTGTCAAAAAATAATTAGTGATATTAAGAATGTTGCAAAAGATATGCTAGGAGTATCAAAGGGAAAAGCTACTAATAATAAATAGTTGGTGGTGTAATCAAAATGTATAATAAAAGATAAAAAAGAAGAAAAATTGTTATAAAAATTAATTCAACTGTAAAAATTTTGAAAATTAAGAAAGATATAAAGAGGCACGTAAGAAATCTAAAAAAACAATTAGCATTGCAAATATTTTAGCTTCTAATGATGTATATAATAAATTAGAGACTAAGGAGGGCAAAATATATATGTATAAGTTAGCTAAACAAAGAGATAGAAGTAGTAAGAATTTAGTTCCAAGTCAAGTGCATTAAAGATGAAGATCAAAAAATACTTTTATTAGAAGAGAATATTCAACAAATGTGGATGAGATATTTTGCAAAACTTTTCAATGAAGATTATGAGAATGCGATTGACTTTGCTGACCTTAGCACCATAACAAAAAATAAAAAATTTTGTTTTTATCGGCGTATTAGTAAAACCGAAATTAAAGATGCTTTAAAGAAAATGAAGTGTAGAAAAACTATTAGACCTGATGATATTCCAATAGAGGTGTGGAAATGCTTAGGAGATTAAGGAATTTCTTGACTTATTAAACTTTTTAATATTATTTTGAAAATTAAAAAGATACCAGATGAGTGGATAATGAGTGTGTTGATTTCTTTTTTCAAGAATAAAGGTGATGCATAGATTTGCGCGGATTATAGAGGAATTAAGTTGATGTGTTATACTTTAAAATTATGGGAGAGAGTTACAGAGTATAGGTTGCGGCATGACACTAATGCTTCTCAAAATCAATTTTGATTCATGCCAAGTAGGTCTACTATAGAAGCTATACATTTATTGAGAGGTTTGATGGAGAAGTATAGAAAGAATAAGGAGGATCTACATATGATTTTTATTGATTTAAAGAAAACATATGATATGTTCAAAGAGAAGTGCTATGGAGAGTTCTACATAAGAAAGGGGTTAATAATGCTTATATTCAAGTCATTAAGGATATGTATGCAAGATATGTTACTTGTGTTCAAACACAAGGTGGTTTGACCAAGTATTTTCCTATTTCAATTGGATTACATCAACGATCAGCCTTAAGCACATATCTTTTTGCTTTATATATGGATGTTCTCACTAGACATTTGCAAGAGGTTATACCTTGGTGTATGCTTTTTGTTTATGATATTCTTCTTGTTGATAAAACTAGAGAGGGAGTTCAAGGTAAACGAATTATGGAGATCAACCTTAGAGTTTAAACTCTAAAGGCTTTCGTTTGAGTAGATCTAAAACTGAATGCATGAAGTGTAATTTTAGTAATAATAGATCTAGTGGGGGATTGTGACTTTGAGCGATCAAGTCATTAATAAGTGCACACGATTTAGATATTATGGGTTTATTGTTCAGAGTGATGGTGAAATAGATGGGTATATTATTAGTAGAATTCAAGTTGGATGGTTGAAGTGTAGGAATGCATCGGGCTTGTTGTGTGATAGAAAATTACCATTCAAACTTAAGGGAAAATTATATAAGATGGTGTTTAGACCTGCAATGCCTTATGGCGTAGAATGTTGGCCATTAAAAGAGAAGCATAATATTAACTTAAGTGTTGCAGAGATAAGGAGGCTCAGGTGGATGAGTATCTTTACTCTTAGAGGTAGGATATGAAATGAGCATACATGTGAAAAGGTTGGAATAGCTCCAGTGCCATATAAGATTAGAGAGAGCCGCCTTAGATGGTTTGATCACATAAAATGGCGGCCTTCCGATGACCCGGTTAGGAGAGTAGTGTATTAGATTAACCTATGTTAAGAAAGCTAGAATATAGACCTAAAAAGACCGGGTTAGAAAATATTAGAAATGTTCTTTCTTTATTAGATCTAAATGAGAATTTGACTCTTAACATGACACATTGGATAAAAAAAATTCATGTAGCCGACCTCATGTAGTGGATAAAGGCTTATGGTTATTGTTGTAGTATAGAAAATAAAAAGGTAAAAGGCAGGCATTTTTCGCTTGTTTATCTTGTCCAGGTAAAAAGATGCATACAAAATTTTATATTTGGATCATTTCATATATAATTTGGTACATATGCGGATAGATGATATGAGATTATATATTTTATGCACCATACCTGACCAAGACTGGCTGCAGCTATAGGTTGATCTTCAAAGTTCCTGAATAATACATTAACTGGCAAACCCAACTCATTTTCTATGAATGCTTTAGCATTTTCAGGAGAGAATGCCGGCACCCTATCCTGCATCATATAGGCAAAAAAACCGAAGTCAGAAATAAATAAGAAATTCTACAGATGTTAGGGATCAAAGAAATTGCCAAGAACAGTGACGTGTTTTGGAGTAAAAAACAGCAAAGGAGATAAGAATAAATTGCAGGAATACAAATTTAGGAGCCGATTTGGATTTCTTCTTCAAAAGCAATGCAAGATACAATTGATCTACTATTCGAGAGATAGATCAGCTCTCACACAAACCCTGGCCGCCACTAGGAGCCCTCAACATACCCTAGAATAATTTCAGCAAAACAAAGATAATCTAACACTAGCCAATATCCTCCTTTAAATAGCTATATAACCCTCATTAAACACAATAAAAACCTTGTTCTTTCTCCCTTGATTTCTCCTCCTTACATAGTAAATATTAACTTCCTTGGGCCCCATAAAAGGGACCGAAATCCCCTCCCTTCCAGTTGACTCCCGCCCTCCCTGGTCCAGGCGTCCAGCCTATCTGAGCCGAACATAACTGATGTAAAACGGAAGCGGTAAAACAGGAAATACATTAATTTAGAACTAAAATTCAGAAAAATAAATCATAATAGAAGGTTTAAATGATAGCCGTCGATTTGCGACGCCTCCTGTGATAGATGCGCCAAATCTTCGTACCGATGTCCGCATCAATAACACTTCCTCGCAGAAGTGTTTCGCATGTAACAATCAGATCAAAGAGTGCAAAGAGAATTACATAATGAAATAGAAAGGTTAAAAAATATCCATAATTATAAAACAATGAAAGTAAAGAAACATGATGGAAATCTTAAAGCTTTGTAAATCAACCTATTCATCAATCAATTAAAAAGTAAGAATCTACACAGACTTTAAGAAGTTTAATTCAAAAGCTTTCTTTTAATCACAATTTTAGTGTAGGTTGATCTTAACCACTGTTAGAAAGGAAGTACTTCAAATACCTGCAACTGGGCAAGCTCATCAACAAACTCCTTAGGGAACAAATCAGATCTTGTTGACAATAATTGGCCAAGCTTGATAAAAGTTGGTCCAAGTTGCAAAACTCTCTCTCGGCACCATGAAGCTGTTCTTTCGCGCCTTTTTTTCTGCATGATGGAAAATGCTGCTTAAAGCACTACTAAAGGTAGAAACAGACACGAAACATGCGGACCAAATCTGGAAAGAAAAGGAAAATTGATGACCAAAATTAGGTCAACTACAAAAGCAACAGTTAGTAATTTAATAACTAAATCAAACAAAAATGTAATAAAAAACACGCCATATAGCTTGAAGGAATTAAAAAATTAAAACAAACAATGATTCCCTTGAAAGGAAAGAATTATAATAATTGAACTATAAAAAATTTTAACAAAGAGGAATTGCTTCACAACATAATATTAAAGACTGTACATCACAACATCACAAAAAATTTTAAATGGCTTTAGATTGATGGTTGATGGGTGTTGTATTAACAAGGTTTATAAGACTATTAATAGTATTCAATTTGTTGATGATATTCTTCTCTTTTATAGAGCTACTTATATGCAACCAGTTAATTCAACACATTCTCGACTTTTTTCGATATATCTTAAGATCTTAAGCTTAACTTCACTAGTCTTCCCTTATCCATCTTGGGAGATAATCGGGTCAAGCTAACCACCTTGCCAATATGTTTGGGTATGCTATGGAATCCTTACCCTTCAAGTATCTTGGTATTTCCCTTGGTTCTAAAGCCATTCAAAAATCTTTTCGAATATTAACATTAAACAAATCCAAAACAATATATTACTTTCTAGAGGAGGAAGATTGAATCTTATCAATTTTATTATCAATTCTATTATTCTATGATATTTCTCTTACTTTTGGATGCCTTAGTGGATTATTAGAAAATTGAATACATCAATAAATATTTTTTCTTAAAGGGTGCTACCGATAATAGGGGGATTCATCTTCAGAATTGGAGAAAAATTTAGAAACCAATAAAATTTGGGAGTCTTAGCATGCTTAAATTAAAATCTTTGAGCATCTCTATGCTTACCAAATGAGTTTGGAAAACAATTAACTCTGATATGCTTGTAAAATTATTAAAGAGAAATATTTCAAAGGCAAAAGACCCTACAAACTTTTTGCTAAATAATTATTTGAATTGTTCTACAAACTTTTGGCAGAATAATTATTTGAGCGTCAATAATAACATATTTATTTGATTTTGAATAGATAAATTGTTATCGACATCACTTTATACATTGCTTTCAAATAATTTTTCAAATTTCTTGAAATCCATATTGTAATGTCTAATCCCAGTTTGCTCCCACTCATGGTTGGGTAAGTTGCCACTTGTTTGCAAGATGATGTGGATCATTTTTTACTCCCTCGTTGATCTCATCACTCTCAACTCTTCTAGAGCATCTCCTTGTTGGGTGCTTAAAAAGGGAAACTACAAAATGAAAACCTTTTGTTACTTCTCACTAATGGTGGAATTACTACTAGTTATATATGGTTTTGGAATTTTATTTCTCCTCTTAAGGTCTTTATGCATGGATAATTTTCCTCAAGAAAATCAAGCAAATCTTTCTTGTTCAAGTTAAATTTGGTTCCCTATAAAGTGTGCTACATTGGGAATCTTCATTGTGAAATACTTTTTCATGCCTTCCTCAATTGCAATGTTATTTGTAATATTTGAACAAGACTTTACCACATTTTAGACATCAACACAACAGTAAATTGCATCACTTCCATCTTCACTTCTTGAAGAAAACTTCGTTCATTTGCCATCAAACATAGATGAGAGGCTTTTTTTTTTTCAATATTATCGACTAAGAGTAACCTTAAGGGACTTCTAAGGAAAAGGAAATATTAAGAAGGTTAACATCATCTCTCTAGCCTACTTCTAAATCTATTCTCGCAAGAAAAAAAAAAGGTGAAAAACATCAAATATAATATGAGAAACCTAAGCTTTCTGGATAATCCTAAGAAACCCTTTATCAAGCATGTTTAGATTATTATTTCATCTCTACTGCAATCAATGTTTAATGTATTTTTCATAACATGCAATCTCTTGTATTTTTCCTCTCCATTTTTATTATTGAGAAAGGCTTAATCTTAGCTTTTACATTAAAAAAAAAAACAAATAATAATAATTTCATTATGGCACAAGCACAAACTGACCCAGCAGAATTTTAAAGCGAGTAGGGTTTCAGATAGCCGATTGCATCAATTCCCGCAAAATCAGGTACTTCGAACAAATTTAAACTAAAGTTACAATTTGAGTAGACCAAGGGGTTAAATTATTTAGATTCCATGGACTCACATAGAACTCCAATTAAGACTACATGCCTCACTGAAAACTTCAATTCAAGTTTTAAGGACAGACACGTACAAAAAAAATTATGCATCATCAAGGAGTGCCACATCATCGAAGATTGCAAATCAAGAAATCATCAAAAGACAATCTAAGGGGCCCAGCCATCACACCCTTAACAATCATGGCAGACCACCCTAAAATTAGCTCCCTTTCCTCCACCTCAAACTTACCTGTCCCTCCCTCAAACACATGGTTGGTCACTACTTTCTCGCCTACAGGAGGCTAATTCTCTCACTTTCTATGTCAATTAATATATCAATTTATCTATCTCTTTCTCTCCTCCCTTTCTCTAAATAAAGGGTCACCAAAGAACAAATTAATGCAAGTGCAGGCAAACGGAGTATTCAAAGGAAGATGGAATCCAACTAAAAGAATTCATTAGAATCCTCATCAAAGGAGGTTAATATTTAAATCAAAACTTAGATCTAGATAGACCCTATTCTCTCTTTCTTAACCTAGCTTGATCACAACACATTCTTTCCAAATTTATTCCCCTACATTTTGATTAGGGATTTCCATAAAATTATATGATCAGTAAGTTTAGATCACTTGCATTCAGAACAAAAGAATGATCACCAGTACCCTTCCTCCAAATTATTGATCATAATACACATAATTTAACTAATTGCAGTAGAAGCAGAACTAGAAAAAAACTATGTGTACAGAAAAATAAAAGGAATAATAAAGAATAAATGAAAAGACCATCAGCTCACCAACACCTGCTATTGCGATTTTGAACAAATGGGTAAATCAATTGCTTCAATGAAATAATTCACAGTTTACCTCATTAAGAACAAAGGAATAAAGCATATACCCAAAAAACTTCAGAAATACTATAAAAAACCCACTTGATTCGACTGACATAATACACACAATAAGAGCTGCAATTTCACCTGCTTGTGTTCTGTGAATCCATCAAGATATGCCCAGTTTGCATTATCAAACAGAACCCGAATATGTAAAGATAGAAAGAAAAACCAGATGTCAAAAGTCCTTTGCTGAGCATTATAGTTTTCATTGGCCCAGCTAAAACCTTCATGTGAAGGTAAAACTTTTAGCTTGTCTACAGATGAGAGATCATCAGCCACTTTCTTTTTTGGTGTTTTAGCTACATCTAATATGTCACTCCTTTTAACCAAGCCAACACCATTCTCAACTCTTTTTGAGCCATTCAAAAAAGTGCTGGCATTGGCTCTTCCATTAACCAATCCAATTTCCTGAGTGATAGCAAACTTGGTTTTCATTAATTCCTTCGTTGACACCATTTTGCTAGCCCGACCATTAGTACCAAGTTTACCAGATTCTTGTTGCCCAACCTCAGCCCTCAAAAAGTTGGTCATATGAAGGAACTTAGATGACAGTGCGTCACCCTTTAATGGTTGAAGATTGGAAATAAAACGAGAGAAACTCAGATCCTGTGATGTCCGAACATGTCCTGAAGGGTTCAAGTAGCTATAGTAGACGCCTTGAGAAACCATGACCATAGCCATCAAAGAATATATCCTAAGATAAAAGCAAGACTGATTTGAATCAATTATCAAAAGAGGCTGAAAAAACAATTAAAATTAAAAATATTTATAAAACAAAAAACATGCCTAATACAAGGTCATTCAAGAAAGAGCAACCTAGAAAATAAAAAATGAAAAATAAAAAATTTCTTTGAAGTTTATATAAATATATAAAAGACTGAAAAATCAGAACAAAAGATGAAACCCTATATTAGATCATCCTAGCCTCCTACCAGCCAAAAAATTCATGATCAAACAATAATTGATAATGCATAAGATAAATTTCCCAAAAGCTGCAGCAATGGTTTAGGGTTCACCACCATATAACTTTCAAATTCACAATCAGATATGACATATTATACCGTCAAAACATTTCCTATGTTTTCCTCTAGCTCCTCCACCTAATCCAAAAATCGCAAATCAACTGAGATACGTTATACAAACATAATTCCCCAAGCTACTTAAAATTTGAAAACCTCCCCAATGAAAGAGGCGATCAAAATTCCCCATCAATTTCACAAACGCTAATAGCCAGAAAGAATGAGGCCGTGAAACAACAACAGAGTTTCTTTTACCTTCAAGTTACAAACTCTCGGTGGAAGAAGACCAAAGGCATCCGAGCATTACGAGCAGGTTCGAAAATAAATAAGGAAATCCCTAGGGTTTGGGCGGAAAGCGACAAAGCAAAACAAAACAGATACGTGAGACGGTAGAAGAAGGAAGAGGAGAAAGGTGCAGATATCCGAAACGAAGGAGTATCCATGCAAGCGTCCTTGCGCTTGCGCGCCATGACGTCCACCACAAGCTAAGCAGGTATGTCGGGAACGAAGACTTTTCGGCAACAAATAGGTTTTGCATTCAAATCTTTAGTTTTATAGCCTTACTTATAGTTATTAAATTTTGGTAAATAATAATTAAAAATTAAATTATTATTTTTAAGAATTTAAAATTAAATTGTTAGTGGAATTTGAGCATTAAGAAAATAAGAATAATATCTTAATATTTATATAACTATTATTTTTATTTAAATGGCAATTTTTTAAGATTATATTTCATATAGGTTTTGCTATGAAAAGCTTCAAATTTGGAATTAGAATTAGAGTAAATAAAATGTTAAATTTATGTAATAGGAAATAGTTTGAATTTATGTGTAGATTAATTATGTATAATTAGAAGTATAATGTATTATATATTGTGATTCATTGAAAGGAAATTCATGTGATTAAATATGAAGTCAATATAATATTTGAATTGAAAATTTTCAGAATTAAATTCATGATAATAAAAGCACTAATAAACAAACATCACGATGAGATGAGAGGGATTTAACAAGGCCAATATCATTTAATTTTAAGATTATTAAAGTACTTAAATGCCAAAAAGAATGCATATTTTTAAAAAAATAATAATATGGGTTGTCTAATGAAATGTTTTAGGGATTTTAGATAAAATTTTCAAATTTTCACTAAAAATTATAAATATATCACATTGGTCATATAAAAAAGAGCTTGGACCTTAACTTAAAAATGAATTCCTTGTAGACATAAGGAACTCAATATCTCCATATGAGATTTGACGTGACTATCAACAGACCGTCATCATCTGATCATCGTCACTTATTCGTCTTTTCCCATTCATCGTGTATTGACTACTATCACTCAACAATCATTATCTAACCACAACTGGTCAACTATAATCTCTCAAGTACTATCACCCAACTATTATTTTCCATCGATTTTGTTTCCCGCCATAATCAACTACATCAAAGCACTCCATCGCTTATAAGACAAATGCACCCTATTTACATAAATGACAATGTCTGCCAACTTTGTAACCCTGGTGTTGCTAACATTATCAACAAATGTGAGATGCATGTCATGGGGTAAGGTCATAGGCCATGCTGTCAAAATGACAATAATAGCATAAAATAAAGACATATTCCCACCTTTAATTTGAGAAGTATATGACATTCACCACATTACAAATGAAGATGCAATTGATTCCAAGAAACAAGTTTCCTTAGATTAGTATCATCAAGTAACACTCCAATAAATAATCTTCAATAAGTCAAACAAGTTTGATAGATTTCTCTTAATGTGTCCAACCACTAATTCATATTTTTAGTAGCACGCCAAACTAACTAACTAAGGTAGACAAAATTCTTAAGAGAAATTTTCATTAATCGATATATGTTGACATAAATTCAATTAACTCTAAAAGTCCATTTCATATAATTTGGTTGTGCCATTCAAATCGATTTAATCTTCGTTTGGAACGGCTTTTTTAATGCTTCATAAAACAACTTTCTAGTACAAAAGTTGAAATTTCATACTCAAAGCTGCTTTAAGAAGCAGCAAAAAAACTGTCCCAAATAAAGCCTTAATGTCATAGCTTTGGGAGGCATGATGATAACACACAAAATAAGTGATGCAAATGAGATTGATTTTCTCTTTGAAAAGATGCTAAATATGTCGCAATATGTAGTACTAAATGTATATTAATTCATATGTTGGGATAAATGTACTATGAATAATATATGAAAAAAGTTGGGTTATTTGTGTGATGATTAGCAACAATACTCTCATGAATATAGTCAAATATGTATATTTTTAATAAATCAAATGAAGGACATGACATAATAAATTTACATTCTTATGATTTAATTCATTGTTTAGCATGTTTGAAATGCACGTTTGTAATAGTGAAACACATCGTTATAATAAAAAGAATATGAAGTTCATATAGGAGCTGTAGATTTTATGTTATGTAATGTCTAGGCTTTTATTTAGTGTTCACTATATGGAAAAAAACACATATTTCATGGAATTGAAATGTAACATAATATAAGTCATAGGTTTCTTTATAGTAGAAATATTACCATAAGGAGAAAATAATAAAAAAGGGAAATACAAGTGTTACCTAATATTTGAGATTAGAAAACCAATCATTGATTGATGATATTGTTGTGTGAATGTTCTATTGTTGTGATGTCCATGATGTTGCAATCAACCTTAATCTTTAAGTGGGTTGGCATTGGATGCTTTAGCTATGATATTAAAATGATGATGGGTGGTGAGAGGATCTTTAAAGTAGAGATTAGTGATGTTGGAATTATGGCATGGGGGGTAGGTTATGTGATATCTCTGGGGGTTCATTTAGGATTAGGAATTGGAGGATAAAAGCTGGGTGTTTGAGAGAAGTAAGGTTAGTAAAATTAGAGTTGATCTCGTACTGTGCAATTCAGTTCATATAGTAAGAACATACAAAGAGTATGACTAGTCAAACTATATTCAGACGGCATGAACTTGATCTAATAATATTGTACAATTCATATCATATTGTTTAATCCAAAATATAGTAAATTAGGGTTTCATATATAATTGCACTAACTGTATTTTATGATCTATAGATAATAATGTAAGATAAACCCATGAAAACTATTAAACATTTTATTTTAGGATTTCTTTTGGAGGATTATAATAAAAAGCAAATCTTTATAAATCCCAAGTGTTATAAGAGTTTTTTTTGCTGGTCTTATTGAGTGCTTTGAGAGTTTTTCAGTGCCTTCAGTCTTAGGAGAGAGATTGGAGCTATTTGTGAGAGCTTTTGGGAGGAACTAAAAGTGTGAGATGAGGAATTAATGTTGATTGCTAGTACTAATCTAATCCTTAAATCCTCAGTGTCTTGTTGTGAAAGCTCTTGGAGATGGACCCTAATAAGTCTCACGTGTTGAGACTTGGACTGGGCTTCATGGATCCAGCAAAAGGCCAGGGAAAAGAGGCATCTCGAGGAAAGAAGCGGAGTTGTTTATCTTCATTACCCATGAAAGAGGTACTTCTCAAAGAGAGAAGAGAAGTGGTTGTAGAGTTTCTTCTATTACTCGTGAAGGAGAGTAGCTTCTCTGCCTTGCTAGGAGCAGAAGAAGTGTGGTAATGAAATTCCCAAGTAGAGACTCAGGGAGTGAACGCAGGTCAAGAGACTGAACAACTATAAATTTGGTTTGCAGATTTCTTACTTTAGTTAATTTTCTTGCAATTTATTTTCTACAATCTTTTGTTTATGTGCATTGTTCGGGAATATTATTTGAAATCTAATTTATGGAAAAAAAAATAACGAGTCAGCAAGGGATTTCTACATTGATTAAGGGGTTGGATGTGGTGTTTAAGATTATTAGGATGAAGAGATAAGAATATAGAAAAATAAGGCATAAATTTGGGCCTGTGAGCACAAATATAAGTATGAAACTTTTGCCAAAGAATTTTTAAGAAGGAACCAAGCCGTCAACATTGGGGATGATCTTCAACTCCGTTAAAATTTCCTTAGTAATTTATATAGCGTTAAATGGTCCTATATATATAACATTAGATTGAAACAACGAATATATAATAATCCTAAACTAGAAAGGAAAAGCTTAACCAAGAGTTCTTTAGAAGATAATAGACTTCTTTGTTTATCAAATATTTTATAAAAATAAACGCCTAACCAATCACAACTAGAAAGGGAGTGAATTCTTTGTTGAATGATATAGATTTCCTTATAGTTGTATTAGAAAAGAGAATACATCCATCTTACTTTGAAACTCATAAAATAGATGATGATATTCATGCCTTACGATTGATGCTTATTTGTGATTTTATCATCGATCTATGCACATGTTGGTGCCATTATGCATAAAGGCATCTCCAACTGAAAAACATTTTTTTTTCACTTCAAAATACAGTAACAATCATAACAAATAGTAATCCATCTCAAATAGGGGTGTCAAAAATGGGATGCATGTAGGGTTCAAGTCGAACCCGATAGTGACCCGTGGCTATTTGACCCCACCCATTTTTGCAAATGGGTCAGAAATTACAACTTGGATCCAACCTGACATGACCCGATTAGTTAATTTAAAGCGGGTTGCAGGTCAGATTGCAAGCAGTACATGATGGCTGAAAGATGTGGCCATTGATAGCCCCTGAAAGAGGGTGGTAGGCTAGACAGAGCTCGACTTGGAGGCCGACGATAGGGAATTAGGGAAGCCAATAAAAAGATGGCTAGCAGGTGGGAGGTTGGGGTTGGCGGTACGGTTGTTGCTATAGTAAGGGAGAGGGGGCTGTATATGAAGATCGCTTTGCTCCAGGATCGTCCGGGACGAAGTTGGATCGTCCCGGGACGATCGGTACAGGTTTGGTCGGAATTGTGAAAATTGAGTAGTTCGTCTGGACGAAAATTTGGATCGTCTGGACGAAAATGCTCCAGAGGACCGGTCGCCGGGGACGATAATTAAATCTCGTCTGGACGACACTTGTCCAGAGCCAGATCGTCCCGGGACGAAGTGCGATCGTCCTGGACGATCAGTCTGGATATATATGGAAATGAGATATTTTGAAGAGAGAGAAAAAGCTTAGGAGAGAGAAGGACGAAGGAAAAAGTGGAAAAGTTGATTTTCGGGCGACGCCGAGCCGTTTTCGTCCGACGAGACTGTTCAGAAAGTGTTGTACGCAAGGTAAGGCACAATCCGCCTTTCTCAATTTTCAGAACCGTCGTGTTTGATGGTATTATCTGTCCGGAATTGATTTTTGCAAGGGATTTTCGTCCGTATTTTTCGTCTGGTTCAGTTTTTACCGCAAAATTTTCTGTATGTTGTCGACGTGCCGAGTGTGCATATTTTTGTTATTTTCTGGAGATTTTTGTCCGGGTAGATTTGATTTGACGGCGTTTTTCGTCGACTGTATTTTTCTGTGTAGTCTAAAATTGTCTGAGCAGTAGAATTAAAGTCTTGCAATGTTGTTATCTAAATTCTGTGTAAATTTGGTATTCTGTGATTTTTCAGGAAAAATTATGTAAA